ACTTTCTTCTTCATTTTCAGACTCCTCTTCAAGATCAGGGATCCCTTCTGTTTCCCTAACGTGCCTTAACCCATCATCATCCAAAATTTCAGGACCAGGGCTGTTACTTGCCGTGGGATAACCACCATAGTAATCCAATGAAGCAAACGGGTTCCATAAAAAATCCCATGGTGAATTATTCTGGGGAGAAGCATCAGGCATATTGCTCGTGGGTGGAGATCGCATAGAGAAAAACCCATCATCCATCCCACCATATTGATGATGCGCAGGAGGAGAATACGCGTGAATGTTGAATGTTTCAGGTGTTTGAGGTGGTCTCTCCTCCACAGAAACCGAAGGATTCCCACGGGGTCTAAGGTAGTAGTTAACTCTCAATGTGGGTTCAATGGATATGAATCCAGAGGGTTTCACTCTCTTAACAGGTGGGGGGAGAGACCGGGAAGCAGTGAATGGATCCAAACAGAACTCGCGAGGCTCGTCTACCTCAACATAGTCTCTAAGAGCAGCTGAGACGCGCTTCATTGATTGGATATAAGCAATGTGAACGGAGGCAAACTGAAACCTATATTCCACTGCTTGTTTAATGAACCTCTTCCTGTCTTTACACAACCGGACTGACTCTTCATTATCCACTTTGGATGAAGAACATCCCATCTCTTAACCCACCCACCTCACCAGATGGTTCATACTCAAACTGCTCATTACAAGATGATGATGGTGGTGGTGATGGTGTTCCCTAGAGAGAATCATAAAAAGTGTAGCCAACAAGTAAAGAAAGATACAAACCAAACCACAAAAGAATGTGAACGCGGAGAATGCTTAACACATAAAACCAGATTTCAGGTTCTTTTCTTGTTCTTAAAGTCTTTAGGTGGAAAACAATTCATACAGATTAGTTCATCACGATGCAGGAAAGTGGAAAAATCAGTTCTATCAAACCCTAAATTGATCCAAAAAAAGATATGGTTTCCCAATCTCGTACTGATTTATTTGTTTATTTATTTATATTCTCAAAAATTGATTTCATTTAAACAACTTAATAAAGCAAGGGGGGCATAAAGCCTGGCTCGAAAAACACAACAGAAGCAAAGATCCAGCTCGATTTCAGCTATCGCATCCATTCTGCATTTCTGCAGCTAAAGTTCAGCTAAAATAAGACAGCAAAAAAGCCCCATTTCATAATACGGCGGATGAAAGTCATTTTGAAACCTAAACGAAATTTAGGAATCCACGACTGCTCTACGACCGAATACCAGCAAAAAAAACCCAGGAGAAAGAACCAAAAAACACTGCGAAATAAGAAACAAAC